AGAAAGAAAGACCCAAAAAATAAAATAACAGACAGGGCATGGTGGTGCATGCCTGTAATCCCAGCACTTTGAGGCTGAGGCAGGAGGATCTTTTCAAGTTTAAGACCAGTCTTGGTTACAAAGTGAGTTCAAGGCCAACCTGAACTGCATAGCAAAACCCTGTCTCAGAAAGATCAAAAAAAGGCCAGTGAGATAACTTAGTGGACTAAGTGCCTGCTTAGGCAAGCACAGGGACTGAGGTTCGATCTCTGGCACCACATGCCTTACTGACCCCACCCCTGGGCTTGCTGAGCCCACCAGACTGGGCATGGTGGCACACACCTGTAATCCCCGCACCAGGGAGGCTGAAAACAGGAAGATCACTATGAGTCCGAGCTGCATAGTGAGATTGTGTACCAAATACATTAAAAAAAAAAAGAGAGAGAGAGAGAGAGAGAGAGAGAGAGAGAGAGAGAGAGAGAAAGAAAAAGAAACTAACAGTAAACAGTTGTAAAGTGGCCTGTTGCTGGGGAGAAGACTGTGTACAGGCTGATACTAGAGTGGTACAGATATTCATGTTTAAAATGAACTGAGGAAACTCCCAGGACCCTCCTTCCCAGCAGCTATGGGAAGCTGAGGCATGAGGGCAGAGAGAGGCTGGAAGTGTTAGGAGGCTCTGAACACGCCCCTTCTTCCTTTCCTCCAAGGGCCACCCTGTGGAGGAGGGACCCATCCCACTGGTGGGAGCAGAGGAGTCAGGACAAAAGAAAATAATACATTTTCTCCACCTCACAGGACTTAAGAGTCCTGGATAATACACCATACACAATATAGCCCCCAAATCCTTTGTGTTTATGTGTAAAATGGACTTAGATTCTTGGCTCTCGGAATTATAAACAAGTCTTTCATGTATGTTGTGCAGGATGTAGAATCTGCTCTCTGTGGGGTCGTCAGGTATCCTGGGCTCCATTCTTTGAATGCTAGCACCTTCCCCGTCTTTTGGGGAGCCCCAGCCCCAGCAGTGGACATCAAGGATCCCTGCTGTCATTCGTGGAGCTCACAATCATCTCTTTGGGAATAGGGATAGCAATGAGGAGGAAGGGGCCCACGGGCGGGGGTGCGGTGAAGGGAGCTGGGAGCTGGGGAAGAGCCTTTCAAGTCTGCTGGTGCCTTGCAGGTAATCCCAGCCCTTGGGGAGCTGTGGCAGGATTGCTCCAAGTTTGAGGACAGCCTCAACTACTGTCTTAAAACCCCCCAAAAGCTTACTTTGTCACATGATGCCTGGACTGGCAGAGGGAGTGGGAGGAGACAGAGCAGGGTCAGAACTGGGGCAAGCTGGGGTCTGGGACCCCACAGTGGGCTGCGGGCATAGGAAGAGAGATGCGAGATGAGGCTGGCCTGGCTTTGGAGCTGGAGAACCTGGTCCCCACCTGCCCTGTCTTGGGTGTTGAAGGAATGGAAGCCTGACAGGAGCAAGTGACCAGGAGACGTCGTCTGGGCACTGAACAGATGCTGAACAGGTGGAGAAGCAGGAGTGGGACTGTGAGTAGAGGCCAGAACCAGAGGCAGGAGCTGGCAAGGGGGAGCGAGGGCCACACTCCTGTCCAGACTCCTGGGTTACCCATGAACTCTGTCCGGGGCACAGGGAGCCCCATGAGCCTGGGCCAGGGTGAGCGTCTGCAAGGACGCCCCAAGGGTGTGGTGTGTGCTGGGGGAGGGGCTGGCCCACCTCTAGCATCACTGCTCAGGAAGTGCAATCTGCAGTCTACATTTAGGCAGCGGAAGGAAAGAAGGAAGGAACTCCTTGGAGAGGAGCGTGCAAGGTGGTGCAGGGAAGGCCTGGCTTGCCCTCGCCCTACCCTAGCTCCCTGGGTTAGCATGTGGGCACGCAGGGCTTTGGCAGAGAGGACCAATACTCTCTACCTGCAGTGGTTCTGGCCCCCTCCAGGTCTGCATGGGTGACGGGCTGGGCCAGGGCCAGCTGGAATGGCCACTGGGGCACACAGCTGGGGCAGGACAATGGGGCTGGGAGAATGCCAGGTCCTTCCGGGTCCCTGCCCAGTTCACAACACTGAGGCTGGGCGCCACCTGGTGGCAAGCCAGGTTGGGTCCATGGTGGAGGCCCAAGCAGGTAAGAACAGCTTCAGACCACAGCAGCTCCAGACAAGGAAGTTTTATTGCTGACATGCAGGTCGAGTCCCCATGTAGTACAAAAATATGTCTTTATACAAACTTTTTTGTGACATTTTCCATTTTGTTTCTTTACAACAGGACTTCTCAGTGTGTGACACCAGCGAGGGCAGACTCAGCCTCCTCTTATGCGTCTCCAGAAATGCCATCAGACCCTGGGCTCCCCTGGGGAGGATCCAGGCTGTCTGATGGGGCTGTGCAGACCCAAGGATATTGCTTTGAAAAGGAGGAGAAAGACCTCATGTGGGAAGCAGGCCCTTGGGTCCTGGGCGGTGGCCCCACTACAGTAGGCCCTCGCCCCACCGGAGGACAGTCCCAGGGCTCGGAGTCCAGGCTGGCCACATTTCTGCCCCTTTAAGAGACTTTTATATCAAATAAATATAGAAAAGAGCACAGCACCGTGCCCTGGCTCTCAGCAGCTGGATGGCTGAGCTAGAGGCAGAGCTGGGTGCTTGGGGAATAAGTGGTGGGCTCCCACAGACCCACTGAGGCAGAGGCCAGAGGTGCCCGAGTGCTGGGTTGGGACATTGGGAAGAAGGGGCACGGGTGGCCCTGCTACTGCTGGCAAGAGGTGGCCCCATTTTTTCCAGATGGGGAAACTGAGGCACAAGTTTGGGAACTTGCCCAATGTCGCTCACAGTGAGTCAGCTTTTTTAGGGGTTTGGAGGCAGCTCACACTCTGGGAAACACTGGGGTCAAGGACAGGCAGGAAGGGCCTGGGGATGCTTGGAAGGGACGCTCAGCCTCTCAAGAGGACACACGGGGTAGGCATCCAGGGAAGGGTTCGTGCTTAACACTGGGCAGGGCCAAGTCCAGGGAGGGAGAGCACATGGCAGGGCATTCTGGTGAGAACAGCATTTCTGGCAAGACCGGCATCCACTTCAAAATCATGGCTCAAAGGGTAGCAGGGCTGTTCTCAAGCCAGGCAGGGCGGGACCTCAATCCCTACACGTCTGTCCCAAGTCTCCCAGCCCCATGGGGGCCCCTGGCCAGTGTTGTGTTGGGGGGAGGACACCTTTTCTCTGGAGCAGGGGTAGGAAGGGAGATATCCCACTGCTTGTTCCAACAATGTAGCGGGGAGCTGGAGAGTGGGGTACAAGTAGGGCCAAGTCCTGGGCCAGGCCTGGCCCAGGCGCGCCTCCCCAGCCTGCCGTGTCTCCTGGCTAGCTGGGTGCCACGTGAAAGATGGAAAAGGAAGCAGGGCTATCATGCAGCACCTCAGAGAAGCTACTGACAAAAGAAACAGCCAAGTCTAGAAAGGCCCCCATCAGAAACAGAGCCTGGGATGGGAGCAGAGGGGCTGGCAAGGGGCTCCCTGTGGCTGGGGTTAGGAGGGAGGCCCAGTGGGGGCTGCACACCCTGCTGTCCTGCCAGGTTTAGGGCAAGGCGTGGCCAAGAGCTGGGCCACCTAGAAATGAGAGGGAAGTTGGTTCTGTAAAAAAATAAATATACTTTAATTCGGTATAAGATGAAGGGGGAGGTTTTCCAAAGCTTGGACCGAGGGCCTGGGATCAGAAGAGGGGCAGCATGGACTGTGGGAGAGCAGGGAGGTGGGCTTTCAGTCTGGGAGCCAGCAGCAAGCTGCACTTTCAGCTTATTTGGACTGTGGGAGCAGTGGCCCCCACGGCCGGGAGGCTGGCAGGCTGGGTCAGGGCCTGGGGCTCGTGGGTGGACTCCCTCCTCCCATCACTCAGTCCAGAGACAGCATGGTTAAAGAGACAGAGGTAGATTAAAATATCATGATTAAAAGCAGATTAGTTATCTATGCTTCTCAGATTAAAAAACCAAACAATCAAGCAATCATCCCAAAAGGTAGCTTTGTGTACCTCTGCTGACCCCACGTGTGACTTGGGCTGTCCCTGTCCCTGCCCTGTTCCTACTCCAGCCTGGGCAAGTCCAGCACCACAGACCCAGCCCTGACAGCCAGGCCCTGGGCCTGGGGGCCAGGAGAGGTGGCGATGGGGCTGGCTGCCCCCGGCCGAGGCCACTATTTCCGCAGATAGCGCTGGGCCAGAATGGCCGTGTCCAAGGAGGTCATGGGCTGCGCGTCGTGGCCCAGCCGTCGCACAGGCGGCACGCTGCCGAACTGCCGCTTGGGCACCCAGCTCCGGGCCTCGTGTATGGAGCTCTTCTCCTCGGCCAGCAGCAGCTGCTGCCGCATGTAGTTCTCAAATTCATACTGAGAGCACTCCTCTGTCACCTTCGCCTGCGAGGCCGAGGGGGATGGAGACAAAAACAGCAGCAGAGACAGAAGATAGGGAGTGAGCACTGGTAGCCTAGCTCTCAAGGCTGCCCTTCCTGTGCCACAAACTTTGGCACCAGCTAGGCAGGGGCCCTTCTTGTATTGGCTGCTGGGGCAGGTTCCAGCCGTCACACAGACCTGTGGTGTGACCAGGACCTCTCCCTTCCTAACCTGACCTTGGGAATGGCCACATTAGCTTCCTTGGTGTGAGGGGCCAATCCCTGCCAGGATGCCAGAGAACGTGGCCCTGGTGCTTGAACCTGGGTGCCCAGTTTATCTCAGCTCCAAACATGAAGCCCCAACCTGAGTTCCCTGGGGTACAGCCAGACTGATCAAAGTGGCAGTGGGAATTTGTTCCGTGTTGGCTGTCAGAGGGAAAGCAGGGCCTTAGAATCAGACTTGGTTGGGTTCAAGGCTCAGCTCCACTACTTCCAAGCCATGATTCTAGGGGAAACCACTGTGTTTCTTAGAACCTTTTCTCCTTTGTCAAGGGCTAACACAGGATACCCAAGCCATAGGGAGGACTGAAAGAGCTGTATTAGGTATAGGCACTCATAACTTCGAGTGATGACTGGAGCTGAGGAACAGCTCTACAAAGGGTGGGAGCTGCAGGGCAGGTCTAGAACTCTCTCTCAGGCCCACTTTCCCTCCCAGGGGCCAGCCAAGCCCTGGTCTGCAGGGGGCACCCTAAGATCACCACCACCTTCTGCCTAGCGTCATCTGCTCCTTCCCTGGCCCAGCACTTTGTCCAGAATAGGGAACAGGAAAAAGAGAAAACAGGGATAAATGAATCATCTGAAAAATGAAAAGCAGTAAGGATAAGAGAGAACCCAGTGAGTCAGAAGAGAGGAATGTGAGTTGGGCAGGAAGAGGAAGCTGAGAGAGGGCCAGGCAGGCCTCCCCACTGAGGGCTCCCCGTCAACAGCCCCTCTCTCAGGTGGCGCGTGGACGCCTCCTTTCCCACTCCCAGGACGCCTTGTGTCTGCAGGGAGCCATCACCTGTACCCTTCTCCCTCACCTCCTGGGAGCTGTCCGCATTGCTCATCTGGTCGTCAATGTCAGGAACCACTTGTAAAGGTCCACTCAAAGAAGACAAGGACTGCCTGCAGGGGGAGAAAGGTCAGACTGCCAGGTGCCCACTTCCTCAGGGAAAAACCCAGACAGGCAAGTGCCTGGCATAACAGGGGGCTGATAGTGGCTGCTCTTTGCACCGCATGCAGAGCACCCGAATCCCTAGCCTGGCATCTCTGCCCAGCACCAGCCCACTTACCACGATGCAATGATGGCACTGAGGGCTTCTAGGACATCAGTGGCAGCCAGGCGCTGCTGGGGGTCGAGGACCAGCAGTTTCCGGATGAGACATACGGTGTTCTCAGAGACCCGCCCATCCCTACCCAGGGAGAAGGAGAGGAAGGAGGTTCACCATAGTGGCATGGGCTGAACTCCACTCCAGGATGCCAGGCTCCCTGGGTTGTTTCCCCCTCAGGAGCCCAGAGGGCGGTGTGTCCCCTGCTGGGAGACAGCACTCACTCAGGAATGGTGTACTCAGCAGCCTTGATCTTGCGGAAGAGTTCCTGCGGGATGCTGTCGTAGAAGGGGAACTGGCCGTAAAGCATGGTGAAGAGCACCACACCTAGGGCCCACATGTCACTGGGCTTGCCTCGGTATGGCCGGCCTGCAGGTAGAGGACATGAGCACTCAGTACAACGCTGCAGCCCCTGCTCTGCTTCCCAGGTGCGGGAGGTGAGTGGCTCTGCTCTGCCACACCCTTCCACAGCAGCGTGCAGCCTGGCCTCAGGCTCACAGCAAAGCAGCCCCGCAACCTGAGACTTGAACCTCTGAAACGGGGAACCAAAATAAACCTTTCCTCCCGTAAGAGGTTATTCTCAGGTTTGTTTTTTTTTTTTTTTTTCTTTTTGTGGTATCAGGGATTGAACTCAAGACCCTGTGCTTGCCAGGCAAGCGCTTATTCTACCAAGCTATCTCCCCAGCCCGCTCTCAGGTATTTTGTTCCGGGAAAAGCAAGCTGGCTAACACACCAGGGAAGTCTGTTAACACAGAGCCTGAAATCCTGTCCCTTGTCTCCTTTATTCTAAGACTGATCCATGCATGACTAGGACCAGAATGTCTTCCCCTTTCACTAGACCAAAGATTTTGCACAAGAACAGGACTACTTTGGGCCCCTGGCAAAGGACAGATTCCAGCCCAGGGCTGCCCACAGCAGTGAACGCACTGCTGCAGAGCCTGCCATGTGTAGCCAGGACCTGCTATCTGGCACAGGCCCACCGTACCGCTGAGCACATCGGGACTGATGTAGGCAGGGCTTCCCCTCTGGTCCTTCAGCAGGTCCCCTTCGCTCACGAGATGCTTTCCGAGGCAGAAGTTGGTGATGGTTATCCGATGAGTTCTGGGGACCAGAGGGAGAGAGAACAAACATTGGTGGCTACGACCAGCTGCCAGACCAGAGCCAGGTATTCTACAGGGCCAGCCCCCAAACCTGAACAAAAACATTGTCCCCATCCTCACCCGGGGAGCAAAGGAATCACACCTGCATCCTTTGCTGACCACCTGCCGAGCTGTAGGGCAGGAATGTGTGTCACTGTAACCTGCAGGCCTCCCTGTCCTTGCCACCCTGTCAGAGGTACAGCTCAGGACCTTCAGAGACTGCCCTGCAACAGCCTCACCTATCTTCCAGTTGGAACTGACCTAGACATTTGGTTTGATTCCCTCATTCACACATCATAAAAAGGAAGTATAGAAGCGCATGACTTTACAATCTCCTACTGTCTCTGGTGGCACCCTGGCAGTAGGTCCTCTCCTGCACAGCTGAGCACCCCACTCCCACCCCACTGAGTCTCACCTCCCTGAGCCAAGTGCATCCCTGGGGCGGGATCCAGCTTACAGGGCAGCCTTGCTGCAGAAGCCTGGTCCTACAGTGCAGTGTCCACGTCCCCTGGTGGAGGACGGAAGTACATCTTCCAGAAAAAGACAGGGCCCCTGCTGACAGCACAGCCCATCCTTTCTGGGGCCCCTCGGGCCCTCCAGAGCCAATACCTTGGTGTTGGCATCCAATGCGCATAGTACAGGGGTGGCAGGAGCAAGCCTGTGTCACTCTGCACTTCCCCACATCCCTACTGTCTCAAGGCTGCCAGGCAGGAAGGGAAAGTGACAGCACAGTTGTCACAGTGCAGCTTGGAGCAACAACACGCCCAAACCTAGTCACCCTCTTTCCAAAGCCCCACCATGGGCCAGAGCACACCTGAGATCCTGCACTGGGTAGATGGATGGTCTGGGAACCTTTCTCAGCAACTTCCAGGGGACCTTTCCTGGAAGGACCAGACTCCTTCCCTCTATTGACAAAACATTTTTTTTTTTTTAAATTTATTTATTTATTTATGTGTGTGTGTGTGGCCAGCTCGGCCCACCAGGGGGCGGGGCTGGCTGGCATGTGGCGCTGGGGATTGAACCGCAGTCCCTGTGCTTTGCTAAGCTTGTTCTAAGTAGGTGCCTCAGACCACTGAGCCATCTCACCAGCCTGACAAAACAGATTTTTGAGGTAATGAGGACTGAACCAGGCCTTCGTACTGAGCCACATCTGTAGCCCTTTTTTCATTTTCAGCCAAGGTCTTACTAAGTCATTAAGTTGCCCAGAATAGATGCAAACTTGTAGTCCTCCTCCCCCAGCCTCATCAGTGTTGGGGTTACAGCACCACCACACTTGACGCCTTCCTCTATGGCCAGGTCCACACATTGGTGCAGATTTTTTATTTTTAATTTTTTTTTTTTTGTATTTTAAGAAATGGTCTACAGGGTGTTTAGGGTCTCACTACTAGATCGGATTCATAGTGATCTGCCTGTTTACAGTCTCCCAAGAGCTGGGATTACAGGGGCACGCCACCATGCCCAAGTCTCAATTGCCATCTCAGAGAGCCCTGGGGGCTGGCATGGCAGGCCTGGAGATCGAACCCCCCCTCCCACCCCCTGTGCCTGCTTGCAGGCGCTTTAATCTGCTGAGCTATTTGGCCAGCCAGATTTAGCATAGCACTGAGCCCATAGCTGAAGGACAGCTACACATACTGGTCTGGGTCCTCACTCCTCTCTGGGTTCAGAGCTACTGGCGCAAAGCGCACCCCAGATTCCCTACCTCCTGGAGTCTACTGAGGACAGTTCACTGGGGGTGGAGGGGGGCACTGACAGCTGGTGAAGAACAAGGGGGGAAACTGTCATCTTGGGGTTCTGGCAAAGCTTAACTACCAGAGCTTTGAGTAGTCAGCCCTCCCCCGCTTCCTTCCATCAGAAAAGTGTTGGGCCACAATAGGGCCTGAGGAAGCTCAGCAGGAAGCACTTACAGAAAAAGGGCCCTGCCACCCAGGAGGAAGCAGGCCCACCCCCCCGGGTGCAGTGCTCTCTTGCAAGGAAGGCAGGGGTCTGACGAGGTAGGGGTCTGACATGCTGAGGAGCACTGCTGGTGGCACACGGCAGTGTCCTCGGAATGACTGTGATGAGGTGCTGGCGTTATCTCAGCAGCTGGGACCCCTGCAGGGTGACCAGACACCTCCTGGTGTTCTTCCCTGGCCTGGAAGCCACCAACACTGCCCCAGGGGAGGACCCAGGTACCCAAGAGTGAGCAGGCAGGCCCAGAAGGGACGTTTAGTCACACTGGGGTGGACTCCCTAGGAGCCCAGGGACAGCAGGGGCGCTCCCCCATGGTGCGGCAGGCAAGGCATGATCTGTTTTGTAGGAAGTGACCGGCCTGGGAGCACAGTTGATGGAGCTCTGCAGTCTACCCTTGGGTGGCACTTCTGTCCCCTTTGCCAGTCCCTTTTGTTATCATCAGCTGAGTATTTGGTAAGGGAGTGGGCTACTTTCACCTATGCCTCACAACAGCTTATGAGGGAGATTTTCTCACTGCACCACTTCTGATGGTGCGACTCTGGCCCACAGATGCAAAGGGACCCGACCTGCTCGAGGCCAGACAGCTGGCAAGCGCGGGAACAGGGTCTAGGACTGTTGGACCCTAGTGACTGCAGTCAGCACAACAGCTGCCCAGGTGCAGTGCACAGGCCAACTGATTTTTCCTTTCATTCCGCCAAGGCTGCCTCATCCCTGCTTTGGATTTCAGACTCTGCCCTGATCAGATGTCCTCTCTGAGAGTCATGGGCCAGGCGGCTTTGGGCTCTGATCCTTTCTAGGAAGCCCAGAGTGGACTAAGGGAGTCCCCAGAGAGGACCCCTACATCACACTCAGGTGGGAGGAGTGGGCTGGCTCCCTGCATAAGGCCCCCTGGGGCCAGGCGTGGTGATGCACAGCTGTAATCCCAGGGACTGGCTAGGCTGAAGAAGAACTGAAAATCTGAACCCAGCCTGGACAACTAAGCAAAATCCTGCCCCCTTCCCAAAAAAGAAAAAAAGAAAGGAAAAAAGATGCCCCTTAGTGGAGCGCTAGTCAGGAAAGGCGTTTCCTACTGGAGTGCCCTGCCCCTGTGCCAGCCAGCTGGGCCCTGCAGCTGCGTGGATGGGAGCAAGGGAAGCTCCGCAGGGGCCTCAGGCTGCCTCTCACTAGAAAAGGGTCCTGGGGGTGGGGGTGGGGGTGCACCAGATGTGCAGGGTGTGTGGCAGGGTGGTGGATTTCCCCAGGAGCTGAGTCCAAGAGGCTCTGAGAGCCCTTCAGCTCTCTTGGGGAATTTGGCTGGCAGGGCCCAGTGCAAACAAAGGCATCCGTCCTTATGTTCCCAGCAGAACTGCAGATCCAGCTCTCACAGGCCCACTCCAGGCCAGGGGTCACGCACACAGCAAGAGGCCTGCTGCTCTGCTCTGAACATCCCACGTCACTGCTCCAACATGGATGACTGCTCAGGCCCCCAATCTGGAAAGTGCTCACAAAGCCACTGTGTATTTTCTCCTCTGGCTACTGCAGCCACAAATGCATCCTGTGGTCTGAGGCTCAAGACACTGGAAGGAGAACAGCTCAGGGGTACAGAAGGTGGCATTCAGATTCTGAGGGTCCTGGTCTGAGCCCTGTTGCTTCCTTGCTATGTGAATCTCATGCCAACCCTCAATTTCCTCATATGTAAAATGAAATATATTAGTGCCTAACTGTCAGGCTTGTGCTGGCATCCATCAGAGGACAGTCCACAGCAGCCACTTAGGCTGGGGCCTGGCACACAGTAAGCTGCCATTAGCCTCTCCTCTGTTAGCTGACACGTCTGGCAGAGGCTACTGATGACAGATACCAGGAAAGACACCGGCTGTGAGGCAGTGGGGTGACAAAGGTCCTGGAGCAGATGAATCTTCAATGTTACCTGGTGGGCAGGACTTTTCAGTACTCTCTGCGGTAGAAAGTGAGAAGCCAGTAGGGTGGAAGGTGCTCAGGGAGGACAGCTGAGTGGGTGCCCAAGCGCCCCCACTGCCTGGCCATAGAGGCGCCCGGAGTCGCTCCCACAGGAAGAGCATGGTTAGCTCCTGGGCCTCCCGGAGCTTGGCAATACTCCCCTGCCCGCGCTGGCTGGGTGGCACTTAGCTCCCTGGGAGTCCCAGACCCCCCAGCTAGCCCTGACTGAAGGGCAATGGCAATGAGGGGTAGAGCGGGTGATGTGCGTCAGCAGGGTCCGCTGAGTCACGCTTTGGCTGTGGCCCTCCAGGCTGCCAACACTCTTTTGCTCTTTTCTAGGAACTGGTATGTGACTTGTCTCCCCAATGGGAGGAGGAGGAGGAGGAGGAGAGCAGGAACCCACAGCCAACCTCAAATAACTCCCAAAGAGAGCCACAGATTCCGGCCCTTCCTTATCCTGAGCAGGTGAACTTGTCCCTGTTGCTGCCTCACAAGCACAGCTCCCTGCTCCCTTCCCTGGGAGCACTCTGCCTGGTCTGCCTGCCTCCTGACTGACTGAAGGCCTTGCAGAATGGGTGACAGGCAGGTCAGAGCTCTTCCAGGCTGAGCCCCCAACGGGGCAAGAGTGAAAGTGAGGCTCAGACAGGATGAGTATAACAGAGATGCACAGGGAGCAGCGCGGGGCTCTCTGCTCCCTACCCACTGCCTCTTTCTTTTTAGCCCCACTCCCCTAATTCCCCACCCTTGCCTCTTTCTTAAGCACCTGAGTGGCTTAAGTGAAAAGTGGCCAGGGCTGGGGAGATGGCTCAGTAGAATAAGTGCTTGCCTGGCAAGCACAAGGGCCTGAGTTCAATCCTCGGTTCCACACTTTCACTTTCTCTCTCTCTCTCTCTCTCTCTCTCTCTCTCTCTCTC